AATGAATTTTAGGCGCTGGTCATCTTATTGTGAGTCAAGTTGACTGCAGAAATGACGACGGCTGATTCTGTAGGTCGCGTGATTCTCCCTTAGTCAAAATTCGCGTCTGATCTCGGCCGTTGAGAGGAAACTCGATCCGACGCTCCAAATTCCAACTATTTTGGGCGAAATTCTTGAGGCCGTTGAGATTCAAATCGATCCGACGGTCGAAATTCCAACTTTTTTGCCACTGGACTTGAGGAGTGTTCGAAAACTGGTTCGAGGGGGACGTTAGAAAATAGCGCGGAACTGGTTTACGTACCCGAAATCGGCGCTTTCCGTCGTCGCCCCCGCGGTTTTAAAAGCTAGGTTTCAGCGGTCGAAAAACTTCGCGTGCAAACAGGCTCTGGTTTCCAAGTGTGAGGATCTAGGATCGAGCTCAGAAAAGAGAGTGTGAATTGAATTGAATGATCACCTGGGTACAACACGAGGCTATATATAGGCTCGACACCAGGCCCCGTAACTAGGTGTTACGCGAAGGTTCCGTGGGTCGCGAAGCGTCCCAAACAGATCCTTCCCGAATTCGGTAGAACGCAATTCGGTGGCAACCGAAAAGCCAGAATTCGGTGCACGCAACCTAGCTCGGTGCTATAACTATAATAAAATATAGGAAAGCACCTAGCCTAGGAAATCAAACTATTCATGCATGCATATAATTATCCTATGCTAGAAATAGCATAATAAAGTAAAGGCAAGCAAGCATAGCTGGCATAAGCCGTCGTACTCTCACGCTGCTGCTGGGACTACTGGTGATGCTATGACTACTGCTGCTGCTGTGCAATGTACCAACCAACTGCTCCAACAACCGCACTCGGCGGATTTGCAGGCCCACTACCACCTCCAGTGCCATCTCCACTAGACACACTCGTACCGCCACCCCCTCCACCACCACCGCCACCACCACCTCCACCACCACTTCCATCACCACCGCCGCCACCACCCTTTCCACCTCCCTTGCTCCGTTTCAGACCACCGTCGGGAGAAACAGCCGCAGTCTACTCTAAACTAGACGGCGCAGCAGAGGCAAGAGAAGCAGTGAACATGGGAAGTTGCGGTACAGCGCACCCCTCAAAGAGACAGGTAGGAACTGCAGTAATGGCAGCCGCAACAGCAAGGAGGTTGCTCTTGTACTTAGTGAGGGTAGACTCTGGTCGATAGAGAGCCCAATGGGGTGCTTGAGGAGGAGCATGTCGCGAGAAGAGGAGAGGCGGTCAGGGAGGCGAGTGACTAACCAACGGATTGTGAGCCACGTAGGCAGGGGGGTCTATTTGAGCTATTCCTCAGTGCAGGTAGCACGAAAGTCAGTGTCAAGAAAACGGAGGTGGGTGACCAGGTCGAGACAGTCTAGAACGAGCCTAGGACAAGGAAGACAAAGCGCATGAGAAGATGACAGAGGGAGGCAGAGGAAGGGGTGCTATAGCGAGTAACAATAGTGTCATGCTGTTCATTTGCCGTGTCGGCCTGAGAGAACTGGATGGCCTCGGTCGGCGGGAGAAGGTCGGTGAGGGCGACACAAGCAACAGAGTCATGATACTCCCAGATGTCGCGCGCCAAGTAGAGCGTATCGTAGTCAGCCTGCTGGTCAGCGGTAGGAGGAGGCTCAGTAGGCAGGGAACTAGGTTGCAGATGGGCTGTAAGACAGGCGCGTTGGCATATAGGTGGGCACCATCCTGGCGTTGACTTTTAAGGTGGAAATGGGTTTGGATAAGCCACGAGCTAAACTCGATCGCACGACCCTCGGCGTCGAAACCCAACACTCGGTGCACCATAGTAAAGGCTAGGGATGGAATTCAAATGCTAGAAACGATCAAAGGAAGAAACGAATGGAGTGGAGAACGCCACTCTAGAACCTTAATTTGAGACACTTCGCCGCCGAAACCCTAAGTTCTACACGTAGTGTGGGGATTGGAGGGTCGCAGCGAAACCCTAGGTAGGAGTGGCCTCCAGCCGCGATGAGGATGGTCAGTGGCAGGAGGTACGGTGTGGTAACTGCCGCATTGGACTGATTGGAGGCAGGGGCAGCATGCATGGCTGCGGTATGGGCGGCCGCCGTGCGTACGCGTAACGCGGCGGCTGTGGAGCGGGCAGCCATTGCTGTGCATGCGCATAGTTGCTGCTATGCATGGGCACGGGTGCGGCTACAGGTGCGGCGGTGGCTGCCGCGCGTGCATGTGGTGGCGGCGGCTGTGGCTGCCATGCGTGTGCGTGGCAGCGGATGCTGCGCGTGCGAAGGTGGTGGTGACGTGCGCGGCTGCAGCTGTATTGTTTGCTGCTATCGCGCACGCTGTGGCGTGCGGGCAGCTGCTCGGGCTCGGTTGCGTGTACGCAGCTTCAAGCATGCGGCTGAGTGCGTGCTGTTGCGCCTACGCGGCTGCGAGTACGCGGCCGTGTGTGCGCTACTGTGCGTGCGGGCGGGGCAGCGCGTAGTACGGGACGGGGTGGGGCGGGTCAGTAAGCGGGACGGGATGAGGCGGGTGTAGCGCGCGGAACAGGGCGGGGCAGCGCGAAGCAGCACAAAGCAGTGCGCTGACGGGCAGGGTGATGCCTTCGCACGGGACGGGGTGGGGCTTACGAACGGGACGGGACACATCGTACTAACGGGCGAGTAGTCTAGGGCTAGGACATACTCGTGATACCATGTTAAAGTTAGGGATGTGGAACAGTGTGACTAGTAAGATACTAAGATGGATGATACAAATACCAAACCTAGAATGTGCTGTACTCCCTACAGTGCTACTCACTATAGCCTATCATGATTGCTAGAAATAGTGATGCTGTACCATTGAAAATGTCGCAGCCACAAAGTGACAACGATAATGTATTAACATTTGACAATTCCGCTGTTCCCTTTCTGAGAGATAATGTTATTTGATATTTGAGAATGTTGTCATGGAGAGAATGACACTATACTGAATTAACAACTGGTATCAAACATCCATGGTAGAACACCTAGTGAGTGTACCATAAGGCTCCTCAACAACTATCCGAACATATAAAACAGTAAAAAAGTTGAAGCAATCACACCAAATGTGGTTACTGAAGCCTGCTTGCTCCCAGCCTTGTCGTCGAGATAGTCGAAGTCAAACGGCTCGATATAGTCACCGTACTCATAGTCCTCATAGTAGATAACTGGATACACGAGCGGTCTGAAACCTCTTAAAGACATCTTGGGCCGTCTACCAGAAGTGGTGCGGCGAAAATAAATAGACGCTGCGATGCTGCTGACGCGTCCCCTTTCCCCGCGACTGCTACTGCTGCTGCTGCTACTACCGCCACTGCTCCGGCTGCTGCTTCTGCTGCTGCTGCCCCTGCTGCTTCCGCCCCTGCTGCTGCCGCCGCGACCCCCGCCATGACCACTCCCGCCCCCGCCGGCTCCACCGCTCCCGCCTTTCATGACTCTTCTGCTATGAGCACTGCTGCTATTTGCGATTCCTTCTATAGCCAGCATGGCCTGTGGTTCAGGTTGTGGGTGGGTGTTCATGTTGTTCGGAATAAGCAGATTTTGAGAAAGGGCTGGTGTATCTGGCGCGTGCTGGTTCCGTGCGTTATACGCGGTATTAGGGAGTGCAGTAGTGGCGAGAAGAAGCTGGGACAGTAGCAGGAGGAGTGCAGATGCTGAAAGCGCGTCCCGGAAGGGCGACGAAGCAGCCCAGACCGTAGCCATGAAGAACGAGTCGTATCGATAACCCAGCAAACGAATTTACACGTGTTTTTAGCTCCGCCTGTCAGGAGTTTCGTTGGTGGCTTCACGGTTAAAAAACAGGTTTCAAGCGTCTGAAAACTTGTCTCGTTTCGTATCCGGCGTTATGGTGGAAATTTGAAGCTTATTCTTCCGTTTCAATGATTCTCGCGGCACGCCCTAGGTTCCGCGAGAAGCAGAGGCAGGAAAGAAGTGCAGAGCGCGACGGCGATCTCCGAGAGAGGCAAAATGGCGGAATGAAGTAGAGCAAACTTGGAGAAAAACGCTACGAAACTGATATGTTAGGAAAGCAAGGGCTTGGTCGAGAGCCGTTCGAGTGTGCTCGGGTCGGAAAGGAAGTGTTTGCTCAGGTTGGAAAATGCATTCACAGTGTAATTGTGCTGCAGCACGTGCGCTGCGCCTCCCACAAAGCACTGGGGGGGAGATCAGAAGGGCTGGAAAAAAAGGAAGGCGGGCGCGAAAAAAGGAGGGAAAGGGGGAAGAGGAGGTTCTGGCTGGAGGAAGCCGCGGAGTGGGGAGGAAGCAGGGGGGATGGCGTGCAACGCAGGTAATGCCGTCAATTCCTGGGGTGCGCTCCACGTGGTAAAGGTAAGGTGCGAAGAAAGATGGAGGTGATGGAATGGGGGAATGTTCCAGCATGGTAAGGCCCGGGTGCAAATTTCCAAATTCGCTGCCTCTGTTGTGTTTGTGATGTACAGATGTAACTTCGTCTCGAAAAGGTGGACCTGGACGCTTCATTGTTGCAAACATTATTACGACGAAATCGCAGCTGTTCGTGAAAACTTTGCAATGTTTTCAACAAGACTCAAGAGTAACTTTATTATTCTGGCCCCAAATCTGCATGAAGCAGATGGCTTCGAGATCCTTTGAACTAGGGTAACTCGACCCCGCTAGTCAGCTGATACGATGTTCCATATCGTCGGTCGAATACGGCTTTCAGAACAGAGCTCGAGACACCCAATTTGCCAGGCGAAGCTCGTGCAGTGAGGTTACGTGCTGAACGAGACAAAAAGCCCCAGGTTGACGAATGCACGAAGATTTCAGTTATCGTTTTCGTCACTCGCGTCTGTTTCCCTCGCTTGTATGCACGCAGTCCGAACACAACACTGTAGGTGTAACTATAGCCACGATCTAGCTCGGCGATCGAATTTGCGAAAAGAATGCGAGGAGCGCAATCCGGATGGAGCGTATTTTGATAAGCATTTGTGTTTCGTAAACGTATTCCGCATGCACGCACTTCCCCTTCCCCTATCTTCCCCGCATGGCTCCGCCGGTCGCCGCGCAGGCCGCGGGTGCCTTCCAGCGCAGGTGCATGCCTCCCCTCACGCCCTCTTCCCCTCCGCATCCAGCGCTCTCCTCGTTCTCTCCGCTTTTTACGCCGCGCCTCGGTGAATCGTTGTCGGAATATGCGTGTCGGGCGGAATCCCCTTTAAATTCGTCAGCGAAACAAAGGCGTGTTCAGAGTAGAAACTCGGAACTCGCGAAATCCGCGCGACACGACGACGCCACGTGGCAGGTTACCGGTGGGCAGATCAACGGCAGGGGGAGATCCGTACGGGAGCGGCGGAACCGGCGTGAGCTTCGCATCAACGATCGAATGCAGCAGTGTCAGTGCCCGCTCAACGACGAAGCTTCCTCTGCTGGTTCCTCTTCCGACGCGACTCGCGATCAACCCGCGTCTGCCCGCATTTCCTCATCTGCCTCATTTCATGACCTCCCCGCTTCCTCCTCTTCCGCCTCCTCCTCTTCCGCCTCCTTCCTTTCTTCCCCTTCGTCCCTCCCCCCAACCACTCTTCCCCACATTGCCTCATCCCCCTCTTCAGACCACCTGCTTGCTTCCTCCGCTTCTCCCCCCGCCACTGCTCCCCTCTCCTCCTCTCCCCCCTCCACTTCCCCATCCGCCCCCGCTCCCGCGCCCGTTAACCTCCCCCTGCTCTCCGCATCTCCGCCCCCGCCCTCCTCCCCCGCGCCCTCCACTCTCCCCTCTGCGCCGCTCCCCTTAGGCCCAGGTAGGCGGATAAGGGTAAAAGGTGGAAGCTTTGTAAAGAACTTGAGGGTAAGACAGAACATTGACAAAGGTCTAGGGGAAAATTATGGGATTGTGGGGGAGAGAGAGTGGGTGCAAGGGGGAGGAATGTGAGGTAGGGGAGGGGACCTGCCCTGGGCTGGGCATGTGAGGGACCTGGATTTTTTTGTTTGTTTGTTTGTTTGTTTTTTTTTTCCTGCCCACCCTTTTTTCTAATCTCGATCCATTGAGCTGTATTTTATTCCTGGCCGTTGATGGCTCTGTTGATTCTCCGTTACTCCCCTCCTCTCTCCCCATCAGCCCCTCGCCTCTCTCATTCACTACCTGTTGACTGGCGTTGACTGGTTGGCTGGCAGGGCACTTTGAGTATCTGCCGCTGAAGGCTCCTTTCCGCATGGCCATGGGGGTGCAACCCATGGCGATGGATGACTGGATACAGGTGCGTTGACCCGCGTTGACTGGAGTTGACTGGATACAGTACTATGCGTTGAACCGCGCTGACTGGTGTTGACTGGATACAGGTGCGTTGTCCCGCGTTGACTGGAGTTGACCAGATACAGGTGTGTTGACCCGCGTTGACTGGAGTTGACAGGATACAGGTGCGTTGTCCCGCGTTGACTGGAGTTGACCGGATACAGGTGTGTTGACCCGCGTTGACTGGAGTTGACTGGATACAGTACAGGTGCGTTGACCAGCATTGAACCGAATGGACTGCTGTCTGTTCCTCTATCGGCATGAGATGGCTGTGCGGAAGGCCATTCTCGCACATACTCTCATCCCTTTCTCCCTCGTTTTTCCCTCTCGGCTTCCCCATTTCCCTGCTGGGTTTCTCTCTTCTTCAGATCGACCCCTTCTACCGGCAGGAGATGGCTTTAAGAAAGGCATTCTAGCGAATCACCGGAGCACAGTCATTGGCAGGATTGGGGGGGAGAGGGGTAGGGGGGAGTGTGTGGGGAGCAGGGGGAGAGATGAAGGGGAGTGTGAGGGGGGGAGAGTGAGGGAGGGAGGTGGGGAGTGGGAGGGGGAGGGAGTGAGGGAGAGAGTGAGGGAGGCGGAGTGGGAGTTACTACACATGCTGGCGGATTTTCTGCCTTCCCGATTCCCACACATGTATGTGTGGTAGGACCCTAGAATAGTTCTGGTTCCTGTTTTTTTTTCCACGATCCCGATTCCCACATATGTATGTGGTGAGTCGTCCCTAGGATAGGTGTTACTCTAGTGTCGTGACTCTCGAGTCGGCTCAAAGGGTGACTTTTGAGTCGGCTCAAAGGGTGACTTTTGAGTCGGCTCAAAAGCCTTTCCGATTCCCACACATGTATGTGGTGAGTCGTCCCTAGGATAGGTGCAACTCTCTGACTTCCCTCCCCACATACCTATGGGAGGTGGGGTATGTGGCAGTCCCCTCCTTCCACTTCCCCAGCCTCTCCCATGGCATGGCCCAGCCTCTCCCATGGCATGGCCCAGCCTCTCCCATGGCATGGCCCAGCCTCTCCCATGGCATGGCCCAGCCTCTCCCATGGCATGGCCCAGCCTCTCCCTCGCACAACAGCACCTGCACAACCATGGCACGGGTCATGATTCACAACCATGGCACGGGTCATGATTCACAACCATGGCACGGGTCATGATTCACTCGACCTCCCTAATTACTGACACCACCCCGCCATTCCTTTGCACCTCCCTTCCCCTCTTCCCATTCCCACCTTTCCTCTCCCCCAGCTTCTCTTTCTCACACCATCATCTGCACAACCATGCCACGGGCGATTCATTTGACCTGTCAGATTCAACACAAGACCCTCTAGAGATCATTGCACAACTCATACAGGTGATGATGGTTTGGTGCCTTTGATATAGAGTGAATTCGATAGTGACTAAATTTTTTCACGAAATCCTCTCTAGAGGTCATCGCCGGTGCCTGTCGGATTCATCACAGGACGACCCTCTAAAGGTCATTGCGCAACTTATGAAGGTGATGATGGGTTGGTGGCTGGCTTGGCAGTGAGTACATTCGATAGTGAGTGAATTCGATATTGAGTGAGTGCCTCTGTTGTCGGATTCATCGCAGGACCCTTATGGTTCCCGGTGTCCTTATGAATTCGCATTCATTATCGAATTCACTCAATGCCGAGCCCCGTGTCCTTTGCTCCCCGTGTCCTTGTTAATCTGCTCATTCTTGCAGGAGGATGTGTGCCTCATGCTCCCTTGCCCTTCCTCTGGCTTATCTCACTCTCATACTTCCTTCTCGTTTGTTGTTGTCTCTTTCTTCCCCTTCTCATCTTTCATCTGCTCATTCTTGCAGGAGGATGTGTGCCTCATGCTCCCTCGCCCTTCCTCCTCCTCCCCTTCCTCCCATTCCTCCTCCTCCCCCACTTCCTCTTCCTCTCCCTCCACCTCTTCCTCTTCCTCCACTCCTCCCCTCTGCCTAGTCTCCGGAGCTGTTCTCTTTCCAAACGGCTGGATTCTGCCCGAAAAACTCGGGCTGCCCACCGCTCACATTCACACACCCGTGCCTCTATACGAGTCGACAATTTCTAGGGCAGTTGACAAATTTCTGAACAACCTGGAGCCGGGAAGCCCGTTTGCTCGCACCAATTGGACGATAACCGACGACCCGCGGCTGTTCCGGCCGATTTCAGAGGTTCGTTGTGTTACTGAACAGAACACACACTCATGAGTTGGTTTTTCTCCATTCACAAATGTGTTCAGCAGTGAGTTTTATCTTTCTTTTTGTCCAGTGAAATAAAGGTTCTCCACTGAAAACTATGTGTGGCAGTACGTCTTGTTAGGGTAACTGAGTGCTACATTACTCTTCACTGCCGCTGAGTGCATGTTTTCCTCCTTGTTTTGGTGCCATTGCTGCCACTGCTGCCCCTGCTTACCCCCACTTGCCTCCACATGCTGCCACTGGTGTGGGTGGGTGCTACAGGCGTCATATGCCTCGATGGTGCAGGCCAAAGCAGGGCTGTCAGAACAGAGGCTTCAAAAAGAGCAGCAGCAGCAGCAGCAGCAAGAAGGGGAGCAAGAGGAGAAGGGTGGTGATGCGATAACAGTGGAGAGTGCTGGATGGAGGCTCTTCACTCGCAGTGAGAGAGAGACGTTCGTGCGCCTGCCCAAGTGAGTGGTACTCTTCATTTGGGGGGAGGAGTCAGTACGCAAAGGCCACGCAGAGAAGAGACTGAAGGGGGAGCGGAAGAAACGGGAAAAGAGAAAGAGATGAGAGGGGAGAAGGAAGAGGCGCGTGGGGGTGAAATTGGTGGGAAAGGAGAAAGAGATGAGGATGGGAAAGAGGACAAGGGAACGTGGGGAGAGGATACAGCGAAGGGGAAAGAGGAAGAGGCAGGGGGGGAAGAGAAAGAAATGGAAAGGGAAAAGGGTGAGGAAAAAGAGGAAGGGATGGGGGAGGCAGGGGTTTCTGATACTCAATCACTCAGCACTCACTCTTGGTACCAACCATATGGGAGAAGGAGTGATATGGTTGGTGCCCCACACTTGCTCCTCCTCTTCCCTCCGCTCCCCATCCCACCTCCTGCTCCTCCCTGCCCCTTCCCCTGTCTCCCTCTCCCCTCCCCCCTTTCCCCACCCTCCCACCTGCCCCTCACCACGTGGGCAGTACTGATCACCCTTCCCCACCCTTCCCCACCCTTCCCCACCCTTCCCCCTGCCCCTCACACATATAAACATATTCCTCTTCCATGTCCCCACCTTCTCCGCTCCCCACCCGATCCCCCCCACCTCCTTCCCCCTTCTCCTCCCCCCGCACTTACTCCAGGACGGGGGCGGTACTGTTCATCATCCGCACGCACATGAAACCACTTCTTCCACCCCAATCCATTGCCCATCCATGTCCACTAGCTCTTCCCTTGACTTTTTGAGTCGACTAAAAAATTGACTTATCTCGCACATGAAACCACTACTCCCGCCCCAATCCATTGCTGATCCATGTCCACTTAACTCTTCCCTTTACCCTCCCACTCCTCCCCTCTCCCCTCGCTCCGCCACTCCCCACCCCCTCCAGGACCGGGGCGGTACTGTTCACCATCCGCACGCACATGAAGCCGCTGCGAGTGTTTTCCGGGTGGCGCCAGCTGGCTGCTGACGTGGTGCGGGCCATGGATGCGCTGCCAGGCGAGATCAGGCGGTACAAGATGATTGGAGGGCGGCTTGCTGATGTGGCACGAGAGTATCTGATTCGATGCTCAGAGGGGCTTGCGTAGTGAATCAGATTCCAGATTGGTAGCTCGTATTGTACTGTACATAATGTTTAATTGCTACAAATTTCAACGTGTCATATTGCTTACACAAGAACTATATGTACCAGTATTGATGGAGTCTCAATTGTCTAGCCAACAGTCTCCAAGCTTCAACGATTTCTGGTGTATGCGTGAGTGTGCTGCTGATGATTGGGGCTCGGGCTTCAGTGTGAACACAACTACTACCCCCAGCAAGTCAGGAAGGTACAGCAAGTCAACAGCGTGACGGAAGTGAGGAAGGAGGAGAGTGAAGGGCTCAGCTGTGTGAGCTCCATCTGATCCTTGAGACACCCCGCGCACTGCTCTCGGATGCTCTTCCACTGGTTTGGCGTGGGAGGGAGGTCAGCAAGTCAGGAAGGTACAGCAAGTCAACCGGACCATCCAGGTGGCCAAATTTTGTCAAATCAAATCAAACTGTAGATGCTCCTTTTTTTAGTAATTTGACACTAGATTTGGTGAAGTGAATGCTCGACAGCAAAATCTGAGCTTGAATCACAAGATGGAGGAGGTTGGGAATGGTATCAACAATGCAATGAAGTCAACATCCCTCAATCCATACATATCAATGCATGAAAAAATCTCATTCAACCCGACAAAGGTTCAAGTGATGGGTGACCGCAAGTTCAACCAGACACCACTACTACAGCACTACATACCATATCTCTACTAAAGCACCAAGTAAACGCATGATCCCAACAGTTTCGACATGGGGGTTCTTTAGCAGCGGTCGGTGGATGGGTTGCCGACTGCTTCCATCATAGGCTGATACTTGTCCTGGTGGGGATGCATGCATGCACATAAAACACATATACACACATACACATGCAGACAGGCGCACAAAAGAGAGGGAGGGGTGTTTCAAAGCACGCACAGCTGCTTCAGCAGCGGTCGGAGGATGGGTTGCCGACTGCTTCCATCATAGGGCGATACTTGTCCTGGTGGGATTGCATTGCATGCACACATGCCAATATGAGCAGACATGCCAACATGCACACAGGATGGACACCCGCACCCATGCACACATGCAGACACGGCGTGCAACCGCATGGAGACATGCAACAAGCATTCCAAACAAAAGGGAACCGGGAGTTGAGAGAAAGCCTGTACAGATTGCCCACTGCATTATCAGAGTCTTGAGTATTCTTACGAGAGCTACATCCCAGAGTGCAGTGTGGTATATACGTAAATGTAAATGTGGTAGGTATAGAGTATACATGTATAGAATAACAGCTCACCAGCATCTGAGTGTACTTGTCCCGTGCATATTCAGTGAGCTCCAGGTCAAGAGCATTCAGCTCCTTGATGCGCCTCATCACGTCCTCTGGTATGCGCGCGCGCTCCTGATAATGCAGGTGGCAGTGACGGCCATGGGGACATTGTGGCAGTGAGATGGGCGGGAGAAAGGGTGAGAGCAGGATGTAATGGGCTTTTTCAAGTCGACACCGTTGAGCTCCTTGATGCGACTCATGGCGACCTCCGCGCCCGCTCCTGGTGTGGGATGGACAGGGAGGGAAAGAGACGGAGAGTCGGAGTGGGATGATGTAAGCTTCACGTTCAGCTCCTTGATGCGCCTCATCACATCTTCTGGTATGCGAGCACGCTCCTGATGGTCATGGTGATGGTGATGGTGATGGTGAGATGGGGACATTATGGTCGTGAGATGGGCGAGAGAATGGGTGGGAGCGGGATGGAGTGAGCTCTTTCAAGTCAAGAGCGTTGAGCCGCTTGATGCACCTCATCACGTCCTCTGGAATGCGCGCCCAGCTCCTGAGAGGGATGGTGACATTGGGACAGTGAGATGGGCGAGAGAGAGAGGGAGGGAGTGAGATGGAGTGAGCTCTGCATTCGGCTGCTTGATGCGCCTCATAACTTCTGCTGGTATGCACGCTCGTCCCTGGCGTGGAATGGAAAGAGAGAGAACGAGACAGAGATTGGCGCGGGATGTAAGGAGCATCGCACGGCAGGCAGGCAGCATACGTGCCAGGAGAACTTGAGCGAACCCGTGTGGTGAAATCCAATGAGCTGTGGTGTGATTTCATGAAGCCACACCGCACTTTCACGGACAATGGGTTGGGTGTAAGTGTGCATCTCACATGAAGCCGCACCGCACTTTCCCGTGTGGCTCCATGAGAAGTTGAGTGGTCCCATGGGGCAGAAGGCAAAGCCATGAGAAGTTGAGTGGTCCCATGGGGCAGAAGGCAAAGCCATGAGAAGTTGAGTGGTCCCATGGGGCAGAAGGCAAAGCCATGAGAAGTTGAGTGGTCCCATGGGGCAGAAGGCAAAGCCATGAGAAGTTGAGTGGTCCCATGGGGCAGAAGGCAAAGCCCTGAATGCAAGTGTGCACTTCAATCAAACCACAGCATACCTGTCACATCGCAGCAGTGTACTTGTCGGGAGAACTTGAGCGGCCCCATGTGGCGGAAGGCAATGAGCTCGTTCAGCTGAGTAAGCTCCATCTCATCCTTGAGGGTGCGCTGTGGAGGTGACTGGGGACGTTTATCTGCGGTTCTTGTACCTTGAGCTCGCCCTGACAGCAGCCTACCTGCCTGGAGACGATTTAACAGACGTTTCAAGAATAGCTCCTTCAAGGACTAGTGTACCTTTCGGGAGAACTTGAGCGGCCCCATGTGACGGAAGGCAATGAGCTCATTAAGCTGGGTGAGCTCCATCTGATCCTTGAGGCACTCCGCGTACTGCTCCCTGATGCTCTTCCACTGGAGGGGGGGAGGGAGGTCAAGGGAGTCAACAGGGTCAATGGTGTCAGCAAGGAGGAGACCGGAGGAACAAGTTGTGTGAACTCCATCTAGTCCTTGAGACACTCCCCGTACTGCTCCCTGATGCTCTTCCACTGGAGGGGGAAGGGAGGTCAAGGGAGTCAACGTGGACAATGGTGTCAGCAAGGAGGAGAACGGAGGAACAAGCTGTGTGATCTCCGTCTAGTCCTTGAGACACTCCCCGTACTGCTCCCTGATGCTCTTCCACTGGTGGGGTGGCAGTGGAGTGGGTGCGGTGCACGGGAGTCAAGGAAGTACAATGAGTCAAGTGAGCAAGGAGGCGAATAAGGGAACAAGCTATGTGATTTCCATCTAGTCCTTGAGTCACTCCCCCTAGGATGCTCTTCCACTGGTGGGGGGGGAGGGCGAGGGTCAAGGAAGTCAATGGGGACAAAGATGTCAAAGAGGTCAAAGGGGTCAATTGGGTCAACGGGGTCAACGGGGTCAATGGGGCCAGTCAGGTCAGAGAAGAGGTGCAACCACTGGTTTCGTCTCATGACAGGTGTCCATTTGACCCACACCAATAACCCATCCGAATGCCAGACGACGTGATAACAAGCTGTTTTCGGGACGTCTCAAAAAATAACCACTGGCTTTGTTTCATCTCATCACACCGATAACTCATCGGAATGCCAGACTCAAGGAGAGCACTTACCGGCCTCTCGTTCTCCTTGGCCTTCTTCTTCGACCTCTTGCACCGCCCCCTGGGGTTCTTGCCTGCTCGCATGGAGGGGCATGCGGGTGGGGGGCATGGGGGCATGCGGGCACGGGGGTATGGGGCATGGGGTTATGGGGCATGGGGGTATGGGGCATGGGGCATGGGGCATGGGGGCATGGGGCATGGGGCATGGGGGTATGGGCATGGGGCATGGGGATGGCTTATTACATGGCATGTGTCGGCCACCAGCACCATCCCCTCGGTCTTGCATGCTCGCATGGGGGCATGGGGGCATGTGTGCACATGGGTGATATGGCACATGGGCGATATGGCACATGTGCGATATGGCACATGGGTGATATGGCACATGGGTGATATGGCACATGGGTGATATGGCACATGGGTGATATGGCACATTCGTTACGTCGCACACGAGTGGTGTAGCATTGGGTACTATGGCACATGACCTACATGGCACATGACCTACATGGCACATGACCTACATGGCACATGACCTACATGGCACATGACCTGCATGGCACATGACCTGCATGGCACATGGGTGAGCGGAAGCATACCAGGGAGGGTGAAGGCCTGGGAGGAGAGGGAGCGGTACCAGGGAGGGTGAAGGCCTGGGAGGAGAGGGAGCGGTACCAGGGAGGGTGAAGGCCTGGGAGGAGAGGGAGCGGTACCAGGGAGGGTGAAGGCCTGGGAGGAGAGGGAGCGGTACCAGGGAGGGTGAAGGCCTGGGAGGAGAGGGAGCGGTACCAGGGAGGGTGAAGGCCTGGGAGGAGAGGGAGCGGTACCAGGGAGGGTGAAGGCCTGGGAGGAGAGGGAGCGGTACCAGGGAGGGTGAAGGCCTGGGAGGAGAGGGAGCGGTCCAGCACAGCCAGCAGCAGCTCGATTGACTCCTCCATGCGGTCCGTGAAGCCCAGATGGATCAACGCGTCCACCCGCGCCTGCATGGGGCCGGGGGCAGATGGGACAGTGGTTGGGCACAGATGGGACCATACGGAGACGGAGAGTGGAGGAAGATGGTGGCATGAACAAGCTCAGCGGATCCACTCCTCAAACCATGCACTCCGTTAAGCCCATGTTGATCAATGGTCGAGTACAGATGGGATGGGACCAATGGAAAGATGAACAATTGCAGACAGTAACAGATTATCCATGCCCTCATCCCACCCATATGCAAGCACAGCCGTCCCCAGGTTCCACCTTAGAGAGCTTAAGAACCTACCCCTCCAACTCGGGTGCTGGAGGCACACATTGCTAATTCTCAAATCACCCTACATAACACACCCCCCTCCCACAACCATGCGCTTGAATACCTCTGCCTAGGCTCCCCATGCTTGCCCCACCCACTTTGGCGAGCTTGAGCATCTCCCCTCCCAGGTCCGGGTGCTGCAGCACACACTGCCTCAGCCGCTTCGCCTCTGGCAGCACGCTGTTGTTCGTGATGCCCGCTAGCTGGGGGTGGGGGTTTACAGGGGGAACGGGGAAGGGAGAGAGAAAAAAAGGATGCGAGGGCA